GTTCTCCGAATGTCGTCCCAGAGAATTCCACGTCGTGCATTATTTGCCGACTCTGGGACTGGTTGGAAGAAGCGGAGAGGTGGTCAGTGCATGACATGGTGTCGTGGCATGAAAGAAAGCTGCAAAGGACTGGCTTGTGTTGGTCCTTCACGACTCCCTGGTTGGGGTCCGAGAGATGGTGCTACACAGTGGCTAGAGACGTTATCAGATATGGCTCAGAATAGAAGCCAGTGGCGATCCTGCTGTAACCTTCTTTTACTTTCTTCATAAAAAGTGGTTGTGTCTCCCTTACCTGAAAGATTTCTTCTGATTGTACCTTTGCGTTCCCTGATTACTAGCACATTACCTTACACCAATCTCTTCGTTATTGTTCTCTCTTTTTTTGTTGCGCTCCTTAGCTTTTTTCTTTTTTTTCTTTCTTTGTATTCCTCTCGAATTTTCATTGTTTTGTGTGGCGCATATATATTGGCGCTCTCTTGTACCAATATTCATGTGTCGAAATAAATAAATAAATAAACATAAGGAGACACATCGTCTAACATGGCGACCCCCTACACCAAACCAACGATGGACTCAAATAAACCATATTGCCATCAGTCATCGTTGGAGAGGGTCGGTAGAAGATTGTCGCTCATTCTGGAGTACCTGCTTGGACTCCGACCACGCGTCCTAATACGAGCACACATCTGCTTGCGCCTCACTGGACGCAAAAAAGCCTCAGGAAAAAGACCAATTAGAACTGAATTGAGTAGCGAGAAAACCAAAAGTAGGTTCCAGGAACAACTGAGGCCACAATTAGGTAGTTCTGAAAACGAGGCTAACCCAGATGTTGCTTGGAAGGGCATACAATCAGCTGTGGAAACAGCAGTGACATCTATTAGTGACTTAAACCACAGAGTTACAAGGAACCAGTGGATTTCTTCAAGGTCTGTCACACTGATGGATTCTCGTAAACTCATCCCATCAGGCTCTGAACACCATGAAGAGCGAAAACAAATCAGATCTAAATTAACCAAAAGTATATGGAACGACCGTGAGCAGTGGTGGGCAAAGAAAGCAAAAGAGATGGAAAAGGCGGCGGCTATAGGGAACACAAAACAGCTCTACAGACTAATAAAAGAAACTGGAATTAATAAGTCAAGTGTAAGTCAGACTATTTCGGAAAAAGACGACACTCATCTGCTCCCAGTCCAGACGTTTAGAACGATGGGCGGAACATTTCAGAGAACAGTTCAGCTGACCTTCAGCTACTCTACAAATACCCTCCATTCCCAGACAGTGTGAATGGAACATTGAAGTAGGTCCCCCAACTGTAGCTGAAGTTCAAAAGGCTCTAGTTAATCTGAAACGAGGAAGGGCAGCTGGTCCAGATGGATTGGCTCCAGAAGTCTTTAAGGATGGTGGTCCCATTTTAGCGACTAGGTTGACTAATATTTTAGCTAAAACCTGGGAGTTAGACGTTATCCCATCTAACTGGTCACAATCACTTATCGTCCCAATATATAAGAAAGGGTCAAAATCATCCTGTGACAACCACAGAGGGATTAGTTTAACAAACATAGTATCTAAAATACTGGCCTCGATAATTATCAAACGCCTAACTAAGACTCGTGAACTGCAAACACGAGAGAATCAAGCTGGCTTCAGACCTGGTCGTGGCTGCATCGACCACATATTCACCATTCGTCAGGTTCTAGAACATAGGCATACTAATCGGCGTCCGACGATGGTGGTCTTTCTTGACTTAAAAGCAGCATTTGACTCGGTAGACCGCGAGATTCTGTGGCAGTGTCTGTCATTGAAAGGCGTACCTCAGAAGTACATAAACCTTGTGAAGACTCTTTACTCGAATACTATCAGTCGAGTCAGAGGTTATAGTGATCTGTCATCTGCTTTTGCAACCTCAAGTGGTGTCCGTCAAGGCTGTCCACTTTCTCCATTTTTGTTTAACTTCATCATAAACCTATTGATAGAAGTAACATTCTCGTCGACTGAATTCTCGGGTATTGATCTCCTTCCAGGAGGTCCACTTATCGACTTAGAATACGCAGATGATATAGTCCTGTTTGGTGAAGACGCTGATAAAATTCAGAGTCTTTTGGTAGCACTAAGCAACAATGCCAGAATGTTTGGAATGCGCTTCTCTCCCTCTAAATGCAAGTTGTTGCTTCAGGACTGGTCTGCGTCAACACCTGAACTAAGGATAGGGAGTGAAGTAGGCGAACGCGTTGACAACTTCACTTATCTTGGATGTCTGATCAGTCCTAGTAGGTTGGTGTCGGACGAAATCTCAGCACGGATTCGAAAAGTTCGTTTGGCTTTTGCCAACTTACGTCACCTTTGGCGGAGGCGAGATATCCGTCTATCAATAAGAGGACGAGTATACTGCGCGGCAGTTCGTTCTGTTTTAATTTACGGCAGCGAAACATGGTCATTGAGAGTAAAAGACACTCGTAGGTTACTAGTGTTTGATCACAGATGTCCTAGGAATATTGCCAGCATCTGCTGGGATCACTGGATCAGTAATAGTGAGGTTAGACATAGAGTATTAGGGAATGATGGTAAATCAGTTAGTGCGGTTGTGAATCTTCATCGACTGAGATGGTTGGGCCACGTGTTACGTATGCCTGAACACCGATTACCACGACGTGCGATGCTAACCAGTGTTGGAGATGGTTGGAAGAAAGTTAGGGGCGACCAAACCAAAACGTGGCATCAGTGCTTGACGTCACTAACTTCTAGTCTTAGCCATGTTGGTAGATACAGTCTACTTGGTTGGGGTCCGCGTGACTATCGTAACCAATGGTTGTAGACTCTTGGTGACATGACTCAGAATCGATCACAAAGGCGTCGGTGTATACACTCTTTGTCTTCCCTTAAACTTTGAGATTAAAATCGCTGCATATCTTTCTTTCTACGAACAAATTCCGTCTTCCTGTGATATATCGTCATACACAATCTTACTTTTATATATCACTATCATTGAAGTAACTATTATGAATTTGTTGCTGATCTTGTTGTGCTATTGAGGTTTACCAGTTTTTACGTTATTGATTTCATTCATGGTAAGGACTGGCTAGATATTCGGTCTGTCAAAGATATGACTAAATAATGTGCTCATATTAGTATCCAAATTGTTAACCTCAATCATGTATTGGTAAGCCGCTAGTTTTGCCGTAAACTGATATAACAGATTATTCATCCATCATTGTCGTTGGAATTCTGTTCAGTCCTCTCAATGTACTAAAACAATTGCTTTGGTTAGGTTTTACTTTCGCGTTAAAGAGATTTCGTATTCCGAACTTGACGATACCTAGGCCTGAATGTTTCATGATCACTTGTAAAGAACGAGTCCAGTAAATATTTCCTACGTTTTAGTTTCTTTTGAACTAGCTTATCTATCCATGAAGGAAAATATGATATTGTACGTATAGTTGACGAGGAATGAATGAGTTAGGCTCTTACAAACATGACCTTACACTTATCCCATACTTCTTCAATGTGATGATCTATACAAACTGATCAGTCCTTTGAGAAAACACTTTTTCTGATAAAGGGTCTGTCTGTTCACCATTTATTTGAACAAAGCAAAACGGCATTCGAAATCGTCTGTCCTAAACCGAAAGTACAGTACAGTATGATCACTATTTGTCTACCAGAGTGAAGTTAAATATCTGCAAAATCTTCACTGTGTGTACAAAGAATGTTGAATAATGACGGTTTATGTTCTAAGTCAAAACGTGTCGCTTTCTTGATACATTGTACAAAGATTTATTGTAAGTCGGTCAACGACAATTTACTATCAAAACGCAGTTGTCAGTTATGTCTGGTTCATGCGTGGCGCGTCAGAATTCCCACCACTAATACAGCTATTAGTCTTACCTCATATAAAAACGTGACTCAAAGCGAGACCATTGATTAGGTTGCTAAAGATATGGTACATTACTTCAACAGTCACTTGAATTTAGAACTTACTACCACTCACGTGTGGCTCTCATTTAACGCATAGATTTAACGCGTAAATGTCGAATGTTCAAGACTATGATCTCACCCTTGCGACTAATGATCCTACTAGTTCTAACACATTAACTCTGTGGTGTTTGAGGTAGGATCAACATCAGTCGAGCCATATTTTTGTAACAATAATTACATCCAGTTTCATTAAAAGACTTAGCTCAGACATTTCGCTTTTTTGGCTGTATGCATCGGCGTAGGATTCAGTCAGGATGTCTGTGTGTTCATCTGAGAACGTTTTTCCCCTAATCATTTAGTTGGGTTTTTAACCCGATAAAGGCGTTTTTTCCGTTGATAAGGGTAAATTCTCAAACACAGTGTACATTAAAGAAATCAGCCGTTAAACCCCATATTGATTTAAAGCAGTTTTCGTTCATTTGTTATTCAGTGTGTTGAAATTAATTCAGTGTGCTTTTTGTTCTTATGACGTTTGTCCGGTTTGACAAACTAAATAAATCGTGTTTACTTACTGAGTTGTTGAGTCACTTATTTATTTCCTTTTAGGTCTCCATACGATTTTTTACACTTGCCAACAATACGTATATCTACTCTAGACCACAACTTGTCAACTTCTGAATGTCATTACTGAAGTAGTTCTGAACAACTTCTTTGGTGTTTGTATCCTGCTTGTTATCATATTTTCATTTCAGACTGCATCTCTGATCACAAGATCACACACTTAATTTGCTGAACAAATACCTATAAACTACACCTTTGTTTTCTTGTGCTATCGTTCATCATTGAGGTAAGAGCACCCTCAGACTACAAGTGCCACATCACTGATGGCTTTAATACACTGAGAAAAATAAAGCATATTTTATTTGCTCTAGATAGCAATAAAGGGCTAGAGTTTACTTCATTATTTATGTGAAAAAAGACTATAAATATCCTATAGTAGTTACTACTATTATTATTTCATTAATAAATACAGAAGTTTAACAAATTTCTTAACGAGTAATCCGAATACGTTAATTTTCGATCGTAAAATGTCAGCTTCTGAAGCATGCAAAAAGTCTCTTGTTACCTTGGAGTCATACCTTAGAGACGAACATACTAATTCAGAAACTTTGAAATTTTCTGCTAACAGCGTACTTACAGTTGATGGAAAGGTGAGCAATATTGTCTCAATAAATCTAAATTCACTCAAACTTTAGAAACCAAGTCCACTAGAGGAAGTCGAAATTTTGGATACCATAGCTACGTACATAATGCTGAAAAACGAAGAGGATGTGAAGTATCGCTTGTTCTTCGAAGTCTTTCCTGCTGATAAGGATATTAGCACTGACTGTTTGTACTTCCTAATAAAATTATCATCGTTAGCCATTTGCCTTGGGCTATCCCCAGTACTCGAAATTGTTTCTTTGTGGCTAAAGGTTAGCGAAATTTCAATTTTTGAATGTTGTGAAGATATATTTTTATCGATTTACTCACAAACTTTGTAACTCTTTAGCAGCTCGAATACACAAATTAGTATTGTTTTATAACAGACTGATGTTGTTTGGTAGAGTTAATGTCCAGAAACAATGTTTGTGTAGCTGTTTTATCTTATTAGGATCTTGTATTGAAATTCGAAAACATAATTTTCAGAGGCACTTTCCACTGCGTAACTTCTCACCAAAATTTTCTCATTGAATCTAAGGTTTTTGAATCAATTAAAATTGACGTGCTAATGTAGTACTTAGACCTATTAACTACTTTTCACGAAAGTTGGTCCAATCACGGCATCTAAGTGAAACATTACGAGTAATAATCATCAAGGTTAGTACCACTTCACTCAGCTGTAGAATCGGTATATTCCTAAAAGTAACCACTCCTTCGTCTGGTTTCTTAGAGGTTGATTTTCCACACACAACTTGAAGTATGCTGATACCATAGTTCTGTTTGGTGGTAAGAATAAAGCGAAGGGTGTTACAGTGGCCTTGGCTAGAAAATGTCTGAGATGCTTTACTCTTCATTTAAGAATGAAACGTTGCTTCAGGACTGGTCTGATTCTTGGCTGGGCAATAGGACGTAAAGTAATTCGACCCTTACCAATTCTAGGAGTTTTATCAAGCCTAAATTGTTCATCGCTGACCCAGTAGCAGTACAAACAAAAACCGTTAAATCCAAAAATAGATTTCCATATTTTGACCGATAGGATCAGAATAAAATGGATATCAATGTTAGTTATACTAAACATTAAAACTATCCTTTAAAATAGATGGATGACTTCATGAACTAAGAAGTAGGAACCATGAATCATGTCTGCAAAGGATAAATCATCATTGATAGTGTTATTTTTATTCAGTATGCTCACCTTATAACGATAAACTGCACTTTCCCAAACTAGACATTCCTGCTTTGTTCCTGTAAGTCCTTGCCACTCTGTGAAACGTATGATCGTTTTTAAACGTTATCTGATGCGACATTTTCCGATTTATACACCTTTACTAATTGTCACCTTTATTGTATCAGTCAGTCCATGAAGTCACTGACAATTGAACTGACTTATCCTAACATATTGAATCTTTTTTCTACTACCATTGAAATAACTACTACGAACTTGGTGTTTATCTTGTTGTGTTAATGAGGTATGGCAAATTGGACCGATGTATATATGTGCCTGGTCTTACTTTGTAACTGACTGACTGACTTTTCTTATAGGTACAGACTACCTGGTTGGGGTCTGTGTGATTATAATAACCAGTGGTTAGAGACTTTGAATGACAGGACTCAAAATCGCTTGCAATCTCGCACCTCCATTCAATCTTTGTCTTCCCATTACTCCTGAAATTCGAACCTCATAAGCCTTTTTGTTTTTATTTCGCTAATTTATTTTTTTTCGACTTGTATATTCGATGCCTGACCTTTCCCATTACCATTGACGCTATTACTACCTCTTCTATCCTGGTATTTGACCTAACAACATCTGTCTGTGCTAACGGGGTTTGGCAACTTGAACCCATGTACATGCACACAAGTTGTACGCTTTGACTGACTGACCCATTGGGGAGTGAGCTACAATCACCTGGTATCGCATTGCAACCGTTATGTTTAATCGGAATCTTCCTCTAGATCTTCGAGTTTATCTTCATACTTAAGAATAATTTATCTATTATGGCTGTAATGTTAAACATTTGTTTATTTGTTATTTACTTATTTGAACACATAAATATTAATACACGGGGGGAACTGGATGCATATGCAACACACACTAATAATCGGAATGGGAAAATATAAAGAATGTAAGGTGCGTGTAAAATGAGAAAAAAAGACCAATAACGACCACAACTTAGTGTATAGTAGTGCAATAATAATAATGGGGGAAACGGAAAGAATTCTTTCAGTTAAAGTTACGGTCACTTTTTATGAAGAAAGTAAAAGAAGGTTACAGCAGGATCGCCACTGGCTTCTATTCTGAGCCATATCTGATAACGTCTCTAGCCACTGTGTAGCACCATCTCTCGGACCCCAACCAGGGAGTCGTGAAGGACCAACACAAGCCAGTCCTTTGCAGCTTTCTTTCATACCACGACACCATGTCATGCACTGACCACCTCTCCGCTTCTTCCAACCAGTCCCAGAGTCGGCAAATAATGCACGACGTGGAATTCTCTGGGACGACATTCGGAGAACATGTCCAAGCCACCGAAGTCGGTGTTTCAAGATGGTGACACCAATTGAATTATCATCTCTGTGCCCGAACACACGATGCCGAACCTCTGCATTACTGACATGGTGTTGCCACTGAATGTCAGCAATCCTTCGGAGACAGCGATGATCGAACACAGAGAGTCGTCTAACGTCCTCAACTCGGAGAGGCCAGGTTTCACAAGCATAGAGCAAAACTGCTCTCACCGACGCGTTGTAGATCCGACCTTTTACAGCCAGACTAACATCACGAAGGCGCCAAAGATGGCCCAGATTGGCATAAGCCGCTCTGGCTTTCACTATACGTGCATTGATCTCATCACTCACACCCCCACCAGCACTTATGCAGCTACCCAGATACACGAACTTCTCAACTACGTCTATCTGCTCAATGTCCAGGGTGAGTACAGGATTAGAATCCTGCCAGTCTTGTAGAAGTACTTTGCACTTCGAAGGTGCAAAGCACATACCATACCTACGGACACTGATTGCCAACTGATTAAGTGCGGATTGCATGCCTTGGGCATTATCGCACAGTAAGACAATATCGTCCGCATACTCAAGGTCGAGGAGTCTTTCTCCAAACAACAGATCCACACCACCATTACTTACATCCATCAGGGTTGTTTCCAGAATGTCATCGATGGCAAAGTTGAAGAGGAATGGTGAGATTGGGCAACCCTGCCTAACCCCACTGCTCGAATGGAACAATGGAGAGAGGTGGTTGTATGCCCTCACTCTGCCTAAAGTGCTTGTATGTAGGGCTTTCAAGATGTTAATAAACTTCTCGGGCAACCCTAATGTCAAAATGCACTACGATTGTTGGCTTGTGATAAGTATGACGGTGTTCTAACATCTGGTGGAGGGTGAAGATATGTTCGATATATTCTCGACCAGAATGAAACCCAGCCTGCTCCTCGCGAGTTCATCCTTCTCGGGTTTTGAACAATCTACGAATTATCATAGAAACTAATAGTTTGGACTCAATCGGAAGTAGACTTTTCACCCGATTGTTGTTACAATAACAACATAAACCCTTTTTAAAGATAGGGAGAACTATCGACTCATTCCATGACGTTGGCACACTCTCTAGTTCCCAAACCTTTGTAAACAACGTCGTCAATTCCTTAGTCAAAAAGTCACCACCATCTTTAAAAAGAGCCGGAGGTAAGTCATCTGGGCCAGGTGGTTTGTAGCGCTTCAAGAGTTGAAGCTCCTTGCGGACTTCCTCCACGTTTGGTGGATCAGTCGTCACCGACCATTGAGTGTAGGACAGTCTGATCGATGTTGCCGGGACAGCAGATCGTTTGGACTGCTCCTCAGGAAACTCTGCTCATCGTCCAACACGTCGATGGATGTTAGTGATTGGAATCCCATCATCCTCGCAGATTGTTTCGCTCACACCAGACTTCTTGCTGCCAGTGACTCGGATGAGTTGAGAGGACTTCCGGCAGTTACCAGATGCAGCTGCTGCTTCCAACCCATTAGCACGCTTCGACTACCAGGCTTCTCGGTCCTTACACAAGCTTTGCCCAATTTCCTTACGTAACATCCTTCGTTTGTGGTCAAACTCACGGTCACTCGGAGTAGAGCGACGGGCTCCAATAAGTTGTAAGGAGCCTGTAGAAACCCAGTGCTTAAAAGCGGGACGTTTCGCGAAGCCGCAAGCGAATGTACTCTCCACTTTGATGGCGCCATGCAAATGCAGCCAATGCTCATCTATACTCTTCGGTAGGATGGTATCTGGCCTTGAACCTAGCTCGGTTTCATATTTAGTTGCGTCAGAAGCTGCAACCAATTTACTGACATCGATCTTTTCGGAATGATGAGTTTGTTGACCAATGCAACGTAAGGTAAGATTAGTGTAAACAAGGGCATGTTCAGAGTCCAGATAGGTACTCCAAAAGTTGCGGCAGTCTTGTACACAACCACGTCAACGGTAGCTGACCGCGATGTGATCAATCTGAGTCCAGGTTTGAGATGAAGAGGGAAGACGCCAGGTGGCACAACGGCGATGACTGTGCCGTAAGTTAGTGCTAGCCAGAAACAGGTTGTGGTCTGTGCAAAGTTGCAGTAGACGGTCCCCGTTATCTGACCTGCGATCAACTTTTCCAGTTATAGGAATTGATTTTGCTGCGCATGGTTTGCGTATACCTAAAAAGTCAAGTTAGTAGTTTAATGAATTTTTTTTATCATTTAATCTATTATACAAGACTTTAAATCTGTTCCATAGTTCGTCTTTGTTTCTTTTCCAATTTGACCAACATTTCTAATACTCGAAGATGAGTAATACATTTTTTTGATTATAAGGTCCGAGTTTGCCAACTTTATGCGTCCTCAGCACTACAGTCAGCTAATTATTTACCTTACATTTCGTATGAAATTATTGAGGAGTTCGTTATAGCGCTTACCTCCGATATGCTCAGTATACAGGGATCTCCATTAACTTCGAATCCAACATTGTCGAAAAACGATATTATCCAGAGTGGAGATCCAAACAAAGACAACCCATTATACACTATCCCATCAGTATCACCTGCATTCGCAGACGCATTTTTGTCTGGAGTTACTTTGGTTTATGGGTTCTATCCTTCCCTAAGTAAGCTTTTAAAGTTAAGTTTACTGTTTTCTCTTTATATTGTTAATAAACTTAGTTTCTTGAAGTATACTGCCTAAATAAGAGTAATTCTCTAGATAATACTTTTATTTTTCATAACGTTCGGTTTCTCATATTGTTAATTTGTGAAGACTTATTTAGCTTTGTCACTGATACGTCCAAGCTAGGGTTGTTATGCCGTATACCTCCTAATGGCTATTGTTCATGATAGTACAAAGACTGATGCGTAGGATTATTTTCAACGTAATTAGTCAAGTTTAATATAATTTTTCGTGTGCCTAGTTAGAATTTACCGTAAACTCATAAAAAGGAACATGTTAAAATATGGTTGAAATAAAAACCAGGAAAAAGGAGTTATTGTTTTTCTAAATGTAATAAATGGCTTTATCGCACTTTTTAACTATCAGATAGTGTTGTGGTAGTTCATTGAAGCTAAATAATGATGAAATTTCAAAATAATTTATTAATTATTATGAAATATGGGAAAGTTCTTTTGAATACCCTCAGGAACAAAGATTTTCTCAGACATAACTCTTAATGTATTAGCTAAATATACTTCATTAGGTTCTGGAATTTAAAACGAAGGCCGACTGTGATAATACTCTTTGATCTAAGTGCAACATTCGACTTCGTCAGTTGGGACATCATATAGCAGTTTCTGTCCCTGCATAGTGTACTGGAAGTGTGCATAAGATTACTGGGGGCTACTACTTGTATATCAGTGCCGAGTTCTACATACTTACTCCTGTTATTACTCTTGGAGGAGCATAGGCCTCCCACCAGCATTCTCCATCGAGCTCTGTCCTGGTCAATCCTTTCCAGTTGCTATTCACTCCTTTAATGTCTGCTTCCAATTCTCGACGTAATGTGTACTTCAATCTTACACGTTTCCGTTTTCGTTCAGGATCCCAAGTTGGGGCTTGCCTCGTGATGCAGTTCGATGGTCCACTTAATTTATGTCCTATCCATCCACAACATCTTTTCCTGATTTCCCCTTCAGTTGGAAGTTGGTTTGTTCTTTCACACAGTAGACTTGCTGATGGCATCCAACCAATGCACATTGAGTGTCTTGCGTAAACAATTGTTTATAAATACTTGTACATTTTTGATGATGTTTGTAGTAGTTCTCCAAGTTCCAGCTCGTACAGTAGAACTGTCTTGACGTTCGTCTTAGGGATTCTCACTTTGATATTGGTTGACAGTTGTTTCGAGTTCTAAGTGTTCCTCAATTGTAGGAATGCGGCTCTTGCTTTGCCAATCCTTGCCTTTACGTCTGCATTCGATCCTCCTTGTTCATCGATGATGCTTCTCAGGTACGTGGAAGTTCTCACCTCTTCCAGAGTTTCTCCATCAAGTGTGATTGGTTTGTTGTACTTCGTGTCGTATTTCAGGATCTTGCTTTTTCCTTTATGTATGTTGAGGCCTAGTGATGCAGAGACTGCTGCTACACTAGCTGTTTTCATCTATATTTGTTCTTGTATATGGAATAAAAGGGCTAGGTCATCTGCGAAGTTCAAATCATCCAGTTGCATCCAAGCTGTCCATTTCGTTCCGCGTATCCCCTCAGATGTCGAGGTCTTCATAACCCAGTCAACCACCAGAAGAAAAAGAAAAGTAAAGAGTGAGCAGCCCTGTCTGACTCTGGTCCTCACCGTCCTCCATGCACCACTTTGCACTGTAGTCAATCGTATGAATTCCGGGTGATATTGTCGATCTTTTCGAGTACACCATAGTGTCGATGAAGTTTCCATAATGTTCTCCTATCCACTCTGTCAAATACTTTCTCATAGTCAAGGAAGTTGGTGTATAGTGACGAGTTCCATTCATTTGATTGTTCAACGATGATCCGTAGGTACCGCTTTGATGTCCGGTGGATTCAGTTTGGCTGATCTATCCCAGAGTTCTTCAAAGTGCTCTACCCATCTGCTCTTTTGTTCTTGAATCTCAATGGTCGGAATGCCTTTGTCCTTGACTAGTCTCTCTGGTTTACTATATTTCCCTGCCAGTTTCTTCGTTGCATCATATAGCTGTCTCATATTTCCCTCTCTTGCAGCTTTTTCCACTGTCGCTGATAGATATTTCACGTATTTCCGCTTGTCGACCCTAATGCTCCTCTTCACTTCCTTATTCGCTTCTGTGTATTCAGTTCGTGCCTTGACTTTCTCTGTTCTTGTTCGGCTGTTGTTAATTGCTGTCTTCTTCTTCCTCCTTTTTTGAATCTTGCTTAAGGTTTCGGTAGAAATCCATTCCTTATGATGATGCTTCTTGCGGCTCAGAACCTCCCAACATGTTGAAGTTAGTGCTTCTTTGATCTTTTTCCAGTTGTCCTCCATAGTAGTTTCTCCTTCTTTCAGTAGATCTTGTAAGGCTTGGAACCTGTTGTTGACAGTTATCTTGAATTCGTTGAGATTCTCAGTATGTCGAAGGAACGCTGTTTCTCCAGTCGTCCATTGCTTCTTTAACTTCAGTTCCATCTTGACAACTACCAGGTGGTGATCTGAATTTATCCCAGTTCCTCTCCTGGTTCTCAAATCTTCCATTGACCTTCTGAACTTTTTTACTGATGCAAATATGATCGATCTGGTTCTATGTAGCATGATCCGATGAGACTCATGTAGCTTTGTGTATGCGTTTGTGGGCGAAGATTATGCAGCCTATAACCATTTTGTTAAATGCACATGGATTTGTAAATCTCACAACGTTCTCGTTTTTCTCTCTCTCTCTCAGTCCATGTCGCCCCATGATATCTTCATATCCGGTGTTGTCCATCCGATTTTGGCTTTCAAGTCTATCATCAGGATTGTCAGATCCTTTTCTGGGCACTTCTCTACGATCGACTGCAGCATCTCATAAATCTGATCTTTATCGTCGTCGTTGCTATCATTGGTGGGTGCATAGCATTAGGTAACACTCTTAGTAATCGCCTCCTTTGTTATGAAGAATTTGCTGATGATTCTGAATCCATGAGATTCCCATCCAATAAATGTTTTTCGTGATTCTTTGGACAGCATTAGAGCAACTCCTTGTGTGTGAGAAGCATTTTTTCTTCATGACCAGAGTACAACAGCACCTCTACTGAGGCTAATCTTTTCTGTTTAGCTTATTTCCAATGGGTTTCACTTAATATAAGCACCGCTAAGTTGTGTCTCATTCAGACAACTGTTTGACTGTCCTCCCGGTTTACCACATTGTCTGAACATTTCATGTACCTATATTAATTGTTGCTCTTGTTGTTAGAAAGGACGTTAGCTTAGTGACTTCCGAAGAATATCGGCTTTCACCATGAGGCGTCATAATAATACTAGACGAAAATCCTTCAACTACTAGAGCAGGGTTTAAATAGTTTAAATTGTTTTTTCTGGTTAGTGATTTCAAAAAGTTTGTTTTCTACAGGATGTGGTTACTAATTCCATGCTCAACCCTCCTCTTTTATTCGGGCTTGGTACCGGCAGTATACCTTGTTGAGCTATTTGCTGAGCCATGTTGTCGAAAACACATGAATCAGGATAATATTTTTGAAAATTATTAAAGAATACACGTCAGTTTACTGGATTGTTCAGATAATAAATTTGAATTTATCTGGAATCATATGATTTCCAGATAATTTTTAAGTGACCACTTAAGACAAATTTAATGGAAATATTTTAAGCCCTGAATGCAGTGCATGGTAAATATTTCTAAGGACAACGGTCTTACAGTAAAACATTAATAATTGTTTGCAATCCAAAGTTAAATTAAATTCACGAAGCATAAACTTGTCATTGACGTATAAACTGATGGCATATACAAAAGTACCAGTCATGTGACATAAATGAATAATAAGTGTATTTTGCCATGGAAATTAAAACATATTTGCCCTAAAAGGTACGTGAAAAAGTTTGAACACTATCACTCAAAATGTTTCGCTTTAGAATCATCCGTTTGCAATTTTCCTGTAACGCACGAAGCAACCAAAATTCCTCCTCCGCAGATTATTTTATGTATCTCCAACTGGTTAAGACTTTCGAGGATTTCGAAGCAGCATCAACCTGGAACTAATCCACTCAGCAGCTGGACCAGTATTGATTGGCCAAGTGTAGCTAGACGTTATAAGTTTCTCAACCATCCCCGCTTTTCTGTTGATCAGATTTTGATGTTTCAACCACCTCCCCACTTTGCCTAATATGGTGGACTATTTTTGAACCACTAAGACATATAATGCGGTAATTTACTATTATATTTATTTATTTTTATTTCCATGCCTTCTCGATTTTACCTTTTGTAGTGTACTGCAACATTTTTATCGAAATTGTGCTTCTTTTGTTTCCCATTAAGATACATAATCTTATCCTCTGAAATCTTGTAACTAACAACTGCATAAATTAACTCACTTTTCGAGATCCGCTCTAAGTGTTTGGGCTAGTAATGCTATCCGATCGCCCAAACCGAAAAAGGTGGAGCGGTGTTCAAATTTAGGGATTAGTGGCTGAAAGTTGTACCCTTCAACCAAACACTATTCCACCGCTTCCCGACCAATAACTACAGTGAATCTTTAAAAAGGATACCAAACCAATTATATTTTCGTTCTGAATCAGCTATGGCTTCAGATGGTTCTTTTGAATAACAGGTAAATAAAGGCTCACAACAAATTTCACTTCGATTGCATCGTAATTATTAGATACTAGATTTTAATGAGTTGGTTACAATCGTCCACAAATGCGTAGCTAGTGGGTCATACGAGGTAGTGTTCACGAGTTTCTCTTATGATCTTTTTGAACGGCTTTTACATGTGCTTTAACTTTCAGAAAGCTTTCTTATACCCTGATGACCTAAAATTTGTCCGTTCTTACCTCAGAGACGAAATATCGGGCACTATTGTAATCATTTAAGAGAAATTAGATGATACCACCGTCTTGTGTAGAAAGTACCAACTTGAGTCTAATTTTAATAAGTATGAATAGATTTGAATTCAAATAGTCTACTTTGATCGTTAACTATCTTACTTTGACACCTCCCAAAACATTCGAATGAATATGATTATATTTGTTACTGACATGTATGTAACTCGTGATTTCACTTTATCCGCACTATTCCATTTTACTAAACTTTCCATATAACGGATAGTTCAAAATGTTCTTCACCTTCTCTGCGGTACACTACGATAATACAATAATACGATAATAAGATTAGTGACCGAGGGTATACTACCGCTAGACTAGATACCCGATAAATACGCTATGCATAGACTAGATCATGTTATATCAGATGCACAATTTACGACCATGAGTAGAGAAGCCGTTTAAAACTAGATAATACTTTATTCAAAACAGTTACTAGCGGTCATACTCAGTGGGTCCGGAGTAGAAATCAATGGGAGGAAAGAAAATCACGAATTTAATATTCGGTAGGCTAATTTCCTGTTTGTCCATGCTCAATGACCACTCACATTTTACTCTCACTACCACGTCGACAATATTCACTTGTTTTGCTGCTAATGTCTTCAGAGGTTCTCCACATGTCGTATGTAGCTATTTCAATTCGTGAAATTGCAGGCTTCTGGCATCTTTTGGTCACCAGAACCTTGTCAAATTCTTAGTTCGTTTGAATGCTTTTCTAGAATTGGTTTTTTATTTATTAGGTAGTGTAGGAGACTCTCATTAGGGCTCCGTTTGGTCATTGTTTAACTTGTGTTCTGCTAACATTGTATGGTAAGAATACCTTTTTCTATCAGGCAAGGAACGTCATATCTGGGGGATACCCAAGCAATATTACTCAAGATCTGAAAAATACTTTTCGCACCACCGGCTGAGATTCCTTCAAAAATATTTTATCGATAAACACACTATTTTTATTACCTGTTAACTTAATTTCTACTTTGATATTTTTTGTCTTTAAGATATAACTTTTATAAGATTTGATCTCCTTCGTTTGCCCGTAAACTAAAAGGTTGAAAGGAGAAAAGATGGATTGCAAAGAAAAAGACCTCTGGTGCAGTTCTAAGTTTAAATTTACCGGAAAGTTGAGAATCCTATCATCTGATTGTAATATATACTCGTGAACTTTAATCTTGTAGACATTTTTCAAGAATGGGGAAACTACTCGAAAAGTATACCGTAATGAAATGGTAGAATTGTGAAATCCGCCAAGCCGTTTGTGCCATAAACTAATCTTCAGTATGTGAGGAAATGATGCCACGTGTCCTATTTCTTTGATTTTTAAGGCAGAATTTTACAGATTGATTTACGGAAATTAATGTTATGAAATGTTTCAGGTTGCTTAATTCACTGAAATGTGAGAACACAACGACATTCATAACTTTTTGTGCATCGTATTAACGTTCTACATTATGTAATAACAAACATCTTTATTGAGTAGATCTCTATGACCTTACTGCAGAAAATGTAGAAGTAAATTAAATTCATTGAAATAATAAAGGACTTGAATGATGATAAACATGTCAAGTTTAGAAGTTTCTTTCCTTAAAACGATCGAAAAACTACAATTACTTCTTTTCACCCTTCGTGGAAAGACCATAATAATTCATATCAGTTTAAGTACAATCATTCCAAAAATACTTTTTATGTTGTTATCTTACGTCATAATGCAATGTTCATTGTCGAAGTTATTAAGTGTGTTGAATGTACGTTTCCAGACCATACTTCTACATCCGATTCCCAACTTTAGCTGCTACCTTAACGTAGTGGTTGGACGCACCTATCGTAGCAACCAGATTAAGCCTTGCTGGCTAGGACATTTGTTTTTTTTAGGTCTCTAGGGTTTAAATCAACACACTATCAGTTCGTGTTAATAGATGCCGATTACATGATTGAATTTTGCAAAATAGCCTTCTGGCCAGTAACTAGAGACTGTGTGACAAACACGAGCACGCGCTCTTTCTAGACCCAGAAAAGCAGCAAAAAACCCACTCAGATTTCGAATTAATGATGTAAAAGACAGTTATATTTAACAGGAACAAGTAGAAAAGTAATAAGTTAATTACGGAGGTGATGTCCGCCACAATGTGGCTTGGGATGATATTTGGACTGTCATGAAGAGAGCAGGGATATATGCGAGTGACTACAACTGAGAAATTAGGAAAAACCAGTAGATTTTAGCATCGTCTACGTATATGATAGATGCTTGAAAACTTATCCCATTAGTCTGGGAACACGATCAGGAGCAAAGGGAACTTAAATGTAGACTGCCTTAAATTCCACGCTATGATCCTGAGCAGTTGTGGACAACGAAGGCAAATACGATGAAAGAGCTTATGGCAGTGAACAAAATTTCAGAACTATCTTAACACTCATCGTCTAATCTGTCAGGACCCATTTTGTTAAAAATCGTTTGTAAAGGTACAGATGCATTCATCATTTGTCTTCTCTTGGATTTATTAGTTTCGAAATTCCTCATACATTTTTCTTTATTATTTAACAATTTTTGATTCCCTCCTCGAATGGTCTCTTGAATTCCTAATCTTAAAATTGCCACTATCACTATTACTACCTCTACTGCTATGGGATTTGCTCCGACAATTTCATCTTACTATGGTAATGATATCTAAAACCTATGTTCATATGTTCTAGGTTCTATAAAACTGACCGTCCACCTTCAGTTCTTTTCGGACAACGTTTCTTGTTGACCGGCTTCGCTAATGATAGCTGAAAAACTAACAGACTATATTCTTATTTTACTGGAAGAGAGCCAAGTCATATGTATGAAGGAAGTCATGATACATCTTGGTTAACTGAATCTGGTGTACTTCGAGACACTGTTCTTCACTTTTTTTTTCTTTCATCATTCATGTTCCACTAAAACACTTATTAATTTTGCTGACGATCACGCTGTATGTATCTCAGTAGTTTTAGTAGTGCATCTTTTTACATTTTTGTATGGTTATGGGAAGTCTTAAAATAACTGGAAAGTACTATTCGACCGAATAAAAGCCACAAACTTTACTCGGATTTCTCATTTTATTATTCTCTGGCAGAACGTGGCTAAAGTTTTATTAGTGTTTATGTAAGCGAAGGAGAATACAAAAGCTCTGCAACATTATCTTGGGCGTAATTTGCGATAAAATTAATATGAGAGTTGACCTAACCAGCAATCTTTGTTCATGAATATATGTACCTGTAGTTGTAAGGACTTTTATAACCATATGTAAATATTTCTCCAATGGATTTTAAGTATAGAACCCTGTCGAAATATTTTATGCCGATTATTCCATACTGTACAAATTATGTATTGAATCAGACATTTTTTACTATTACAGCGTATCATCCATAGATCACCACTTTAGTCATCATAACTCACTTAAAATTATCATCCATGTCAGAAATAGTTTGGTGGGTCCGTCTTGATTTTGTAATTTCGTTTTTGTTGTCTAGTCTGCTGGTGACTAGTTAGTTGACTGAAAATTTAAATGTACCTCAGAATTTAGTTTTAGGTTCCATGAAATAATCGACAAAACGTTTTGTTCCTTAATAATCTTTCAACATTGAAGTCCCCGTTATGTTGATATACCGGGACTGCTTCTGTGTTCTTTGTGACGCTTTGACTCCACCTCCCTGTCATAATAACTATGAATCTATCGTATTCACTTTCAGTTACTCCTGCAAATCGAAACAAGATGACAGTGGCAAGTTGATATCCAGCTGTATCTCAGATCTACATTATGAACTTCTGCAGGTATTTTTCCTACCTAGTAGTTTATTCGCCAAATTAAAATCTTTTTTTTCTAGTTATACACTATAACTGGTTATATGTTGCTATTTAATGTAGGACAGATAAAATGTGACTAGCAGTGGAATCCAGGACACGCGGTTTGTCTTATTTAGGAATTCTTAGCCGAATATACCTGCATCTTAGATTTAGTGTCCAGTTCTTAACTCAAATCGAGTACCGTTGCCATTTATCTGTTAGTTCGAATTCATAAGGTTTTCAAACTGATAAAATGAACGAGACTTATATAATGTGAAATAATATCTAGTACGTATTATATCAACATTTCATTGGTTATGGTCTTTAGTGAGCTATTCAAAACGTGAAAAATGCAATATTCCCAGGAATTCCTTTTTTAAACCACCATTTCAGAATATTTAAGTAGCTCGTATATAATTGAACCTGTTCCCACGAAACTCTTAATTTTCGGCTCTCAAGGACAACAAGACCTTGTGTAAACAACGCGTTTCACACCGTATCATCGTATTACGAAGGATGTTTTCTGTAATTTGATTAAACGAAATTTTAAATTGTCATAACCGATGGATGAACCCGATGGTATTATGTGGTAGTGATGGCTACTCGCGATGCTGTATAATTGACTTAGGCCCCCTGAATGATTAGAAATCAAAGGCAAAACCACTAGCCAAATGACTGATTCTTCATGTATTAAATAGCATGCTTTTACACAAAATATGAATACAATATAACCATGGTTAAATATCATAGGCAATTGGAGAAAATTAGCTTGTCGGTCACTCGTCTTTCAATCAATTATTACTTGATTGTTAGAACTAGTCTGTGGACACCGTATCGCATCGTTAATTAGTGAAACTTAATTGACGAGGCATTCGTTTAGACAGTTTCAGGAGGGTAATGCAGATCGTTGTTGTAGGCCTTTTGTATTTGTGCATCAGGTTTCCTGAATGGCTTAGCTAAAGAAAGTAGTTAACAAAAGCATTTCTTATGACACCTGAGGCTCTTTGTTTAGTCCATCAATATCTTGTTCTAGTAACACTTGGATCATTCACTTATGAACCATTTTGGGAATATATATATATATATATATATATATATATATATATATATATATATATATATATATATATACTCTTGGAACTCAGTTCAAAGTATTTTGTGATCTTCCAAATAACATCGATTCGTAGTACGTCCTTTTTATTAAACTATCATGTTTTTGTGCTAAATGTCATCAGTTTTTCAACATATAGGGATAAGTTTAGTGTTTAAAAAATTCTTCTGACGTTCTTATTACTCAAATACGACTACAACTTCGTATAATTAGGTGGTTTCTTCTAAATTGTACACATTCATCCGAGTTAATAGGCTTTCAAACCTTCAATTTGCTGTTGTTTCATGAAATTCGTTCGTTTTAGATTTTAATAATTCTCACAATAGTAGTATCGCTTATGAATATATTGTATTTGCTGGTCAACTCTTTTTCATATTTATTTGATTAGTTGTACATCAAAGTTAAATTATTCTCTTGTCATAAAATAATATTTAATTTCACTACATACTCATAAGTGTTTGTCAGAACCTGCCAGTCTTGCTTCCCACCGTCATGGCAGTGGAGTTCCCGGACAGTCTGGATTTTCAACTTGGCTTCTTACATGTTCGCGAAAGATGGAGTATACAAAAGAATTTCACTATATGGAATCAATGATTACTCAAGTTCATGAACAGTGTAACTTGATTAGTTCGCTACCGAAACATGAATCGTCAGGGGATAAACAAATTGACCTTTTAGAACTAATGATCATTCGATTAGCAGAATTTATGCAAATTTGTTGGGTTACTGGACGGATACGCAATTTAAGTTCAGGTAATTTTTTAAACATTTAAATAATATTAGTTTTATAACCTCTTCTCACTAAAACGAGCTTTTCTCGTTTTGTATTATTTGTTTGAAACTTCCGATTGATGTTTAGGACTGCAATTGATCAGTCTCTTATTGGTATATGTACGGATTGACTCAATATTTGCCTGAATTCACAAGCATTATAGATGGAAATAAGATGGTGGCTGGCAGTGGAATCTAGGACTCACGTTTCGTCCTATTTGGGACTTGTCCCGGAGTGAACATCAACTCTGGAAAGCGGATATATTTAACTTACGAGTCCCAAATAGGACGAAACACGCGTCCTGCATTCCATGTCTAAACATCGTCCATCTTTGCTTATAGAACTTATTTCGGTTATCGATCTAGAGATATCTGTCTAAAGTGTTAATCTTGATTAAACTTGATAACGAGAAAAACTGCATTCAGCCCCGGTACGGCCGAGAGTGGGGAGAGTCCGCTCTCCCTCTCGAAATACTCTCACACGGCCGCGCGTATACAGCCTCTGCCAGGGAAGTCCTACTCATTGCCTTCTCGTGGCGGGGGTGTTGTTTACGAAAATGAGAGGACGAAAAGCGAATGTCCGGCGCTTTAACCGGATCACAAACCAATGGTGCACATGGGCTCCAGTATCCTGCGGGAACAAATGGCGTATGAACCAATCTTTGGTCACCGGCTACCATGGGATTGCATCTCCTTACGATGCTCCACTGCCTTGTGGGTTAGACCTTTAGGTCAAAGGCTCGGGGTGTGGCCCCCTAAGAAAACCACCTGCTTCGGTTTGGGCACCCGGGCAGTATCACAGCCCACACACAAACGATGAACTCTATGTCTTTGGCAACTACTTTTATCGCTCCGAAAAACAATCAGTCGATTCAAATAATTATCATTACTATTATTGTCATTATTAATACTATTATTATTACTATTATTGTCGTTATTATTATTATTATTTTCCACATTCACCCTCTTTTATACTTATACAGCGGCTCGTCTTTGGTGGAAATTCGACTGTATCTAAACGTTCTCGAGTCACTGTCCGGTTGAAAATTGTATGTTACCACCGAATATGAGACTGAAGCAGTTTTTCTGAAACCACGTGCGCCATTCAAACTGGCTGCCTTCAACGTTCGCACATTTATGCAGGTCGGACAACAGATAGGGCTGGCTATGTCTTTGGAAAGTCTTAATATCGATGTTTGTTGTCTATCCGAGACCCGTATTCAAGACTCTGGCGAAGTACTACAAATTCGATCTCCATCTGTCGCTTCGAAAAGCTTGTTTTACGTGCGCTTATCCGGGGACCCTGTGGCATCTTCGTCTGGTCTTGCTGGCGTTGGTGTCGCACTAAGCGCTAGAGCTGAGGCAGCACTAGTCGATTGGATCCCCATTAACAGTCGGTTATGTGCTGTTAGATTAGAAAGTTCCATCAAAGTGAGAAGAAATCGGCGTGAGAAACGATGTCTTTTCGTCATCTCCGCCTATGCCCCGACAGATTGCAGCCCGGATGCAATCAAGGATGAGTTTTACCACCAGTTATCTGTTCTTCTCCAGAAAGTGCGTTCGACAGATATTGTAGTACTAGCCGGAGACTTGAATGCTCAGGTCGGGCGTCTAGGCACAGAAGAGAGTCGTTTAGGTGGCCGATGGGGACTCGTTGGTCGCAGGTCAGATAACGGGGACCGTCTACTGCAACTGTGCACAGACCACAACCTGTTTCTGGCTAGCACTAACTTTCGGCACAGTCATCGCCGATGTGCCACCTGGCGTCCTCCCTCTGCATCTCAAGCCTGGACTCAGATTGATCACATCGCGATCAGCTACCGCTGGCGTGGTTGTGTACAAGACTGCCGCTCCTTTTGGAGTACCTATCTGGACTCTGACCATGCCTTGGTCTGCGCCAATCTTGCCTTACTTTTCAGTGGACAACGAAGTGACCGCCACCAACGGATTGATGTTAGCAAGCTGGTTGCAACTTCTGTTGCAAGTAAGTATCGAACCGAGCTAGCCTCTAGGCTAGCTACCACTCCACCGAAAAGTATAGATGAGCATTGGTTGCAATTGCATGACGCCATGAAAATGGCGGGAACAGTCAGTTGTGGGTTTGCGAAACGTCCCGCTTTAAGCACTGGGTTTCTTCTGGTTCCTTACAACTCATTGAAGCCCGTCGGTCTACTCCGGGTGACCGTGAGTTTGACCATAAACGAAGGATGTTACGTAAGGAAATTGGGCAAAGCTTGCGTAAGGACCGAGAAGCCTGGTGGTCGAAGCGTGCTAATGAGCTGGAAGCAGCAGCTGCATCTGGTAACTACCGGAAGCTCTTTCAACTCATCCGAGCCACTGGCAGCAAGAAGTCTGGTGTGAGTGAAACAATCTGCGAGGATGATGGGATGCCAATCACTAACATCCATCGACGTCTTGGACGATGGGCAGAATTTTTCGAAGGGCAGTTCAACTGGCCTGCTGCTCCGGCAACATCGGTCAGACTGTCCTGCCCTCCATGGCCGGTGACGACTGATCCACCAAACGAGGAGGAAGTCCGCAAGGAACTCCAACTCTTGAAGCGTTACAAATCACCTGGCCCAGATGACTTACCTCCGGCTCTTTTTAAAGATGGTGGTGACTTTTTGACTAAGGAATTGACGACGTTGTTTACAAAGGTTTGGGAACTAGAGAGTGTACCAACGTCATGGAATGAGTCGATAGTTGTCCCTATCTTTAAAAAGGGTTCACGTCGTTCCTGTAACAACTATCGGGGGATAAGTCTACTTCCGATTGCGTCCAAGCTATTGGCTTCCGTCATACTTCGTAGGTTGTTCAAAACCCGAGAAAGATTGACTCGCGAGGAGCAGGCTGGGTTTCGTTCTGGTCGAGGATGTATTGATCATATCTTCACCCTCCGCCAAATGTTAGAACACCGCCATACTTATCAAAGGCCAACAATCGTAGTGTTTCTTGACATCAGGGCTGCCTTCGATTCGTTGGACAGGACTGTTCTCTGGGATTGTCTATTGAAGAAGGGTGTGCCTGAGAAGTTTATTAACATCCTAAAAGCCCTATATAAAAACACCTCAGGCAGAGTGAGGGCATACAACCACCTCTCTCCATTGTTCCATTCGAGCAGTGGGGTTAGGCAGGGTTGCCCAATCTCACCATTCCTCTTCAACTTTGCCATCGATGACATTCTGGAAACAGCTCTGATGAATGTAAGTAATGGTGGTGTGGATCTGTTGCCTGGAGAAAGACTTCTCGACCTTGAGTATGCGGACGATATTGTCTTACTGTGCGATAATGCCCAAGGCATGCAATCCGCACTTAATCAGTTGGCAATCAGTGTCCGTAGGTATGGTATGTGCTTTGCACCTTCGAAGTGCAAAGTACTTCTACAAGACTGGCAGGATTCTAATCCTGTACTCACCCTGGATGGTGAGCAGATAGACGTAGTTGAGAAGTTCGTGTATCTGGGTAGCTGCATAAGTGCTGGTGGGGGTGTGAGTGATGAGATCAATGCACGAATAGTGAAAGCCAGAGCGGCTTATGCCAATCTGGGCCACCTTTGGCGCCTTCGTGATGTTAGTCTGGCTGTAAAAGGTCGGATCTACAACGCGTCGGTGAGAGCAGTTTTGCTCTATGCTTGTGAAACCTGGCCTCTCCGAGTTGAGGACGTTAGACGACTCTCTGTGTTCGATCATCGCTGTCTCCGAAGGATTGCTGACATTCAGTGGCAACACCATGTCAGTAATGCAGAGGTTCGGCATCGTGTGTTCGGGCACAGAGATGATAATCAATTGGTGTCACCATCTTGAAACACCGACTTCGGTGGCTTGGACATGTTCTCCGAATGTCGTCCCAGAGAATTCCACGTCGTGCATTATTTGCCGACTCTGGGACTGGTTGGAAGAAGCGGAGAGGTGGTCAGTGCATGACATGGTGTCGTGGCATGAAAGAAAGCTGCAAAGGACTGGCTTGTGTTGGTCCTTCACGACTCCCTGGTTGGGGTCCGAGAGATGGTGCTACACAGTGGCTAGAGACGTTATCAGATATGGCTCAGAATAGAAGCCAGTGGCGATCCTGCTGTAACCTTCTTTTACTTTCTTCATAAAAAGTGGTTGTGTCTCCCTTACCTGAAAGATTTCTTCTGATTGTACTTTTCGTTCCCTCGTTACTACCACACTACCTTACACCAATCTCTTCGTTATTGTTCTCTTTTTCTTTTGCGCTCCTTAGTTTTTTTTCTATTTCTCTTCGAATTCTCATTGTTTTGGGTGGCGTATATATATTGGCGCTGTCTTGTACCAATATTCATGTGTTCAAATAATGAATAATAATTATTATACTTTTATATTACATAGTAGATGATTACGAAGACATTTACTATCTGGAACTTTTACATAACTGATTATGTTTCGTTTACTGACTAAAAGTTAAGGATTAGGAAGCGTGAGCCAACTGGATTTGGCTTGGTTGCAAATATCTAGCTGAGCTTGAAGTGAGAAAACATAACTTTTCAAACAATTGCATAAATAAATCCTATAATAAATCATATGTATCGTTTAAGCTTAATATGTGCTAGAAAAAACATACTAATCAATAAAACCTGCGTAATGTGTATTTATTTGCTTACTAGTTCAGAAATTTTCATGTGAACGTATTTTCGATTGCTTGCTGATCAGAGCGTCGTCCATCCGCATCTTAAATTTTTTAATCATACTAGTCATTAAGGCCTGCATATCAACGATGACTAAATGATACGGTTATAGACTGTTTTCTTGTAGAAATCATCGCATGCTACATAAGTACTTTCATGTAGAAACGCCTAGTTAGCGCTTACAAGTAGAAGTTGCTTACTCCAGATAGTGTCAAAGAATCGTCACTCTCATGTTGCTTGTCTGTGATACATTCACAGACAGTATTTATGAAATACAAATTGAAAAGGTACCAACAACATACTATGTCACTAAAAGTACTTTTAATTCTATACATAGACTAGAATGCATGTTTGCACAAAATTCCAATCACAAACCTACGCCTTTCTCTGAAAAATTCACCTTTTAAAATAGTCTCACGTTATTCGAAGATACAATCTAAATTTCATGTGTGATGGATTCTGATCATTATTGGCTGCCATATGTGGATCCTTCGCTGATTGCCTCGACGCAGTTGGTGTCTTATGGAATAAGTGGAATCTGATTAGGGGGGAAGAAACGCGCGTCTTTGATTCTATTGTTAGCCACATTCCATCTATTCTGTGAATTTTAAATTTTAGGAATTCCATATTACCAAGTTTTAGGATTTAATCAAACCAAGGAATTCAAGTCTTTTTCTTCCAGTCATTGCTTATATTTGTCTTTTTATTATGCACATACGACTTCACGAGAATGATATCTTGTTCCTTTGATTCAAAAGACTTTGTATCTATTGTTTAGACCTTTATCTTTGCAAGTTTTTTTATCTTCATTAAAAAGACGAACTAGTTATCTTTCATACTGACAGATCGAAACGTTTTCTCTGCTAGGTTTTGATAGTGAACCATAACGATAGAATGTGACCTAGTTACATAGTTGTGGAGAAAATCTTAAGCTTTCAGGGATGTCATTAACTTTCAATATCTAACCTGTATGTATGCTAATTTTATGTTGATTGTGCAGCTTTTGTGAACAAGTTTATCGTATCCGCATGATGTATTTCTAATTTCTTATGTTTTAGATGAATTTTACAAACTTCTTGCTCCATTAGGATGTCATAGTTGGATCGATCTTATTCTTACACGTTTCAAAAGATAATTACGTTTCCCTGTTAAGTGTGTACATCCCATTTATTAAAAAAGAAATGGAAATTGTATTAAAAGTTCTTCATTTTTTCAGTCTTCTGCACGGGATTTCTGTTTCCATTAACACCAGTTAGAAACTTATCTAACCCAAAGTTTATTGCATGGAATTTCAGTCGACTGACAGTTAAAACTCATTGTATATTGAGTTGAATTTCAGCACTGGTCACTATGAAATTTGTGAGCAACTAGATAACACTTTTCTATCCTTATACATAATTATCCCGAGTGAGTTTCATGCTAAAGACGTATGGTGAAACTCATTAGTTGAGAACAGATCGAGGGGGACCAAGCTATAAGACATATCCACAATTGATTGACCACTATGAAGTGATAAATGCCAAGTTAGTTTAGTCTTTTGGTGCTGATCGGATTCTATCGATTAAGTTACAATACGACCATTGGTTTGAACATGTCGACTTCGCATTTACTGTGGTGAGATGTTAAGTGGTTAAAAGTATTCGGGATGAAACCCAAAGGGATCATCAGTCCCCTCAAGATTGGAGGTAATAACTAGTGCCTACTAGAACGAAACGGAGATCCTGGATTTCTTTCTAAGTACCTCAAATCACCAGTTATTTCAATACGGGACACGCAATGTGTGGTCACTCAAACTAATGACTGTATTGCAACTTTATCGATAAAATCTTATCAGTACTGAAAAATTAGATTAACCTGACATTGGTCACTGTGCAGTTTTCAGTCAACTGATGTACTGTACTTGTAATTTGAACACTTGTTTTATACAATGTGCCCGAGTCAATATTTTAGGGGTAACTTATACCTAGCATGTTCGCATAAAGTCATAGAGATCGCGTAAGTTCTGTTTGAAATCCTGAATGACAATTAATTAATATCAGCAAATTGGGGTAGTTTCCACTTGCTGCAACTTCTATAGTATCCTTTTCATTCCCAAAAGCTTGCAAAAGTAGATTTATCTTACTGAATATCTTTAGTGGTTACAGTTTACTCACTTTATGTAAGTCGAGAAGTATTCATCACCAAAGTAGGCTACGACATTTTTACCAAAACTACTGGGGTAATTAACCAGCAGGATTTTTCTGTAGACACTTAAAATCTGGAATTGGAGTATCAACGGCTTTGGATTATATCACTCGAACTAGGCCTCATGATATTGGTGACTTCGATAAGCAGAGTTAAATTAAAGTAATCCCCAGGGTTCGGCTACTTCCAACACACTGCGTATTTTGAAAATCATGCTTTACAATTTAGTAGATGTAACGGTTCGTGAAAGAAGAAAATTTCTGTAACTTTAAATCACTAAAATGATTTAACATACCGTAATCTTATAAAGAGTTCACAAAACGCAGGATTTCTCTAGCCGCTTTCTGTAATTTCTAAAACTTTCCGACAAAGTAACGTCTATCTTCGTATCTAGGTTAGTTTGGTATAATATGGTTGCAAGAGTGAGTGCCACTAAGAGGTTTACACCAACTTGTTCTAGACATTTGTTAGTTAAACCCAAAGTGATTTTGCTAAATTCATAGTCATACATGGTTTGCACAGCATCACATATGAAAGTCAATGCACCAGTCTTTGTCCAGCGAAGTACGCCAGAGACGTCAGATGGGTAGTGATACTGACCAAAATTAGTTATAAACTGCGTAATACTTCCTAAGATTGTCCATTTCATTTGACCAGTAGTCACCCGACACCCTCTGATCCTAGAAATAATTTCTCTATGGGCAAGCACCCAGACTGATAATTGAAGTCTTCAGAATCACAATCTGTATGGTTGAAATATTCTCCAATCTGGCTTTCACCTCCCCATCGTCTGGACGGATAGTGGTAGTTATCAAGGCTATCTCGAGTCCCTGACCTTTCCTATGGTACTTCTATTCTCAGCTTTGGCGAACCCTAAGTTTGGATATAAAGCTTTGCTTCCATCCCCTCACATTACACCGATTGTGGTCATTGTACTTTGAGTTATTCGACCTTATTTATTCATTTTTGTGTTTTACATTTCGAGCTCTCTACTGCATCTGATTCCCATTTTCTACTAATCATATCGTTAATTCCATCTTATTGAGACGTTTGGTATGTTAAATATGATAACTACACATTTGTGTAAAATCCAACTTGATGATCTACCAGCCGGTTTCGATGGTCAGATAAATGTTACACTCTAGCACTTGTGAGGGCAATGCAGTCAAGTTATTGCAGTAGATAGGACTTCCCTGAATGATAGTTTTAGCTTGCTACGTCAACTGGGCTTACATTACATTCAACATTTTTTGGTAAACAATGAAATAAGACGAGTCTGTTAATAAGAAAGTACTTCATATTTCGTGTTACAATAAAACATATCGAATACTCTCACCCTAATTTTCAACATTTCGAACGCGTACTCAGTAAAAATGAACGTGAAAATGATTTCCGCTTTGACTTGTCGAAACCACATGCATTGTGCAACACGTAATAGATTAAATATTTTCGCTCAAAGTAGGATCTTAAATACGTCGAATTTTCGGATGTTTTTCATGAACTGTTGCCAATCATGATTACCTCTCATTAACTGTTGTGTGATTTTCATCCGCTCTTTCGCCCTCCGTTTTTGTTCTTTCGCCTCACGATTTTTTCTCTTCAGCCACCTGATTAGAGAAAAAAGTCCTTGGTGTTATTTTAAATTAAATTGGATTCTATAATTCAATCTCGTGCAACAATGTGGATTCCTATAAATAAATGGTGTATTTGTAATATCCCAATGAATAGAAAAATTAGATTTTCTGACGTTTTGTGGCTTAGTGTCAGTCACTTCTTCAGAGAATAAAGAACCAAATTAAAATTAATCCAAGTTTAAATAGTACAACGGAACAATAAACTTGGATTAATTTTAATTCGATTATTTATTCTCTGAAGAAGTGACTTACACTAAGCCACGAAACGTCAGAAAATCTAATTTTTCTATTCATTGGGATATTACAAATATACTATTTATTTATAACAATCTCCCTAATGCTCAATTTATTCGAAATCATCTAACCAAAAATTGGTGATGATACCTAATGTAGATTCTATTTAAAACTGATTTCATCACCTTGAATGTATGGTTCCTGAAACTAGATAGAAGGTTCGCCAAGTCAATGAAATTGTGCTATAAATGAAATCCTTGAAATGTTGTTCAACTCTATGATAAATATCCCACACTACAAAATATCACTCTAAGTTGGCGTGATTGTGAATTAGCAATATCTCAATTAGTTCGCTGAATGCATTATCTCTGTGTGTAAGCCACAGCCGTGATGTTACACTACTTCATTGTTTTTTAGCCTAAAACGGAAACGTTTTTAAATACTGAGATCGGATTTAAAGTCTACATTTATATGAAGCGAAAAGGCATTGCAGCTGTTTTCTAGAAGTTTATGTACAAACATCTTTTTGTGTAAACTTTTGTTCAACTAAACAGATATCACAATAAAACGCGCACTCCTTATAGGGTTACTTTGTAGAGCCATTACTTTCCTTTGGACTACACATGCGGTTGTAAAATGAATATAGTTCCTTTACAGTGTGAATTAAGAAGGTACCCTAACCTTTCATCCCGTTCGATATAATATTCTGAGTAGATTTGTCAGAGTTCACACTTTCAATCAAGCACACAAATGTTTATGATAAGCTGTTCTTTAGAATTAAAAAGTAAAATTATACTCCCTCATTGTCGAAGTGTGATAATAACGGTTTACAGAAACAATTAAATTATCTAAACAAAATTCTATGTAGCTTTCGTTGAGCGGCTGCCTAGTGGTCAAGGCAGTCACCTTTCAGTCCGTTTCGAACCCCTTGCCTGTTCCGGTTTTTACATGGGGGGCAGTATCATTGGTTCTCGCAGTTGAAATGTAGCTCATAGTAGAGTACTTAGTGAATGAGTTAACGTACTATAGCTTTTTATTATTTTTATATTGAGTATCTTTTAATTGAAATTGGAATATTTCAGTGAGATTTAGAGTATTTTCAAGGGTTAACCTTACCTTTAAAAACTCCCAGTAAAAAGGGGGTCATAATATGTAAATACTTCGCCTTCTTTAAGGCTTTAAATTTGCAGTCCAAATATGTCACTCAATATGAATTACAAGATAATCCAGAATATGCATTATACCAATAGGTGGAAAGTGCTGTTTTCTATTTAGTTCGTTCTTTTTAAAATCCTTTACTGAATACCACACCAAACAGTTAACTTTGTTTTAACTACTAATACTTATGGTAAATGTGATATCACCTCGATAACAAACTGAACGAGATACGGTCTTCGTTTATGTGCATACTTTTTTGGTCCTTAATCTAACACGGTCCACTTTCTTCTGTAGACTATACTAATGGAAATAGTCAACTTTACAGCTTCTCCATGTTATATCCTAGCGAAGAATAAATTATGGGTGACTTCTGGGAACTATTTTTGGACTGTTATCATATATATGTTCTTATTGGATAACTTAAGTATTTTATACATATATTCGTATTTTTTTCATTTGACCTATTGACTACTATTATACGATTTACTATTGTTAAGTTATCACCAATTTATTAGTTACAGTATCTCACACTCATACACATTTGGTCAGATCTTGTATAATTGCTGTTTTCTACTTCATAGTATGATGTGGTCTAATTTGCTTGTATTTAAACTGCATATGTCTGAAATACGCGATACATATAGTAGAAGCTGTGTTCTGGACTCAGAGTTGACCATACGCTGTTTGTACTGCTTAATCCGTCATTGATCTGGTATAGTATCAAGGTCATGGGAGTCCCTGTTTTAACTGGGCAATCTAAACACGTGACATAATTAGCAGGCCATAGAACACAACACTTCACAAATCCAAATGATTATAGATTAGATAATTAAAATAACCCATAGTGTCATTGAATAAGAAAAAGAGAATTCAGCGAAGAAATTTTTCTTTTCGACGAAATCATTTACTTAAGCTGTACATTCGTATATATAGTTATATGGAAAATGTATGTCTATAGAAGGATAGAATGGATTGTATCACAAAAATGGATTCGACAATAAATAACAAATGAGGTTACGTACTAATCAAGGGGTAAGGAAGAACAAAATTTAAGGGTCAGATAATAGTCCAATTGACAGATATGAAGAAAAACGACAAAACAACAAAGGTCATAATAATAGACTGAATAATAATCAAGAAAACTTGTAAAAGGTAATAATAATAATAAATGATTAGAGTTTAAAGTGCAAAATAGTAATAATAAAAGTGCATTTAAAAAAAAACACCTAGAAACATACCCATTAAGGGAATTAGGGCCAGGGAAGGATGAGAGGTTGGACAAATCGTTCCTGCACGCAAAGTTCAGGCTTTAGTTTGTGGATTGCCAATGCCTCTGCGGTGCATAAAATATTGATTCGAACCCCCTTCGATCCCGTTCCTTTGACTCTGTAAACTATTTTAAACGAAGAGTCTTTTGGAGCGATATGTCCACAGTTGATTAAGTGCTCCTGTATAGAACTCGTGATTGTTTTTCGCTCTCCTTTTATTATCTTCCTTACCCCTTGATTAGTACGTTAACCTCATTTGTTATTTATTGTCGAATCCATTTTTGTGATACAATCCATTCTATCCTTCTATAGATTATAGATTACATTCATTCACCACAAATTAGATAGTCTAACAATCGTGCCAACTTACTGTTTAAATGCCTGCTCACATGCCTCTCTGGAATGCACAACATTCAGATGTTGTTGTTCTTCATTTTCATATCGTCTCATTTCCTCTTCACTTTTTCTTTGTAAAACTTTAGCTCTTAACCAGTTTGATAATTTCTGATCACGTGATTTTTTATCTGCAATCTAATTTTCATGGAAATTCAGACGAGTTTTGTGTAAGAATACATTCATTTTAAGGGTTTCCCTATTTATTTTTTCAAATATATATTGTACTACATTTATTGTTATCAGAATTTAACCTTTTTTTAGAATATGTCCTCTTTTGTGTTTTTCCCTCTCCTCCACCTTAACTTCCATGTATTCCTGATATTTAAGTCGATGCCACACCTTTATGAATTCAGAAAATCAGTAGTGTATTTTGAAAACAGTTTCTTTGTTTAAATATACCATTTTCGAAAAAATGAAGTGAAACATTAAATTTATCTACGGTAAACTGACTTATGGCGGACGGCTAATCAGTGTTAGATCAATCGAAGCTTTCTTTAGCATTGTTTTCCACTTAGAGAACAGCTGCAGAAATGTTTGAAACTATAAATCACCTAACCTTTTTCAACTCTAGGATATATATAACCAAGATAAGACTAAGTTACTAATTAGTTAGTAATCGAAAAACCAAGGATTAAATTAAAGATTACAAGGCTTTTGCGAATTCTCCACTCATCTCCAGAGTAAACACCTCAAAGTGGTAATCACATTTGACCTTGACACTTAGTCGAAAAAGGACTGTTGTGAGCAGTATGCGACTACTAATTTACTAATGTTTCAGATAAATGCAAATAACCTTGTAATTTATCACTTACTTGGATAGAATTCTCCTTCGCTTTCTCGGTTAACGGCTTATCATTGTTATTTTGAAACTGAGAATTACATGTCCTTTCATTTTTTTGATTACTTACATGCTTAGTTATTATTTTAGTAATATTGTTATCTCGCTCGTTGATTGGAGTTTTTCGGTACTTCTTCGTCCTTATTACTTCGTCTGTATGTGTAACATTTGTATCTAAAAACAAGTTATTGATCATTTGCTTGAACGTCTGTTTATCTAAGTTGAAAATTAAAATATTTTAACCATGTAAACTTAATAAATAATAAAGTTAACTGGTAAATAATATCGAGGAGCCATATGATAAAATTCATATTGCATAATCCAAACTGAATCCAGTTTCACGAAAATGTATTTTCTCCGTTTATTCTTATCTAGACTAATGGACTACAAGTTTCTGATTAATTGCACATTTTGACTACCTCATAATCTTCCTCCCAATTATTGGTCAAGTGCATCCTTGCGTTTACTAATTCGAATACGCCTTTCCAAAATATACCACGAATTTTGATCGAGATCTTAAACTGATTGATGTTAGACCACCACTGAAAACCTGGAAGCACTGGAAATTATTACGTAATAATCTCCACAACCCCATAATGATAATTACCACGTGCTCACTAGTGACTACCTTCGTGAGGGAATTGTCGGAGTTCTTTTGAGAAGCCGTGGCCAGTTGAGCTAATCCACGTCGAGTAGAGACAGGTTTCTACCTCAGTACGATGGAAGATGGTCACACAATTTCGTGGGTCGGTTGAGGTTAGACATTAACACCATTGGATGCCGACCAAGTGGTCTCGAGTTCAAGCGTTCACGCGCGAGACTGAGGCCCTGAATTCGAATCCCGCGAGCGGGATCGTGTACGTGCACTGCTGGGGAGTCCCACAATAGGACGAAACTGCCATCACGGTTTTTAGTGGTGGTCTAACATCAATCCGTTCACAATCTCAATCAAAAACGTAATGATCTTCACAACCCCATAGTGATATATAACAAGAAGTTGGTTTTTGTCGACGCAAAGCTCTAATTTCTGAAAATCAGTAAGTTTAGGTGATTACTGGATGTCTTTGCAAGTCTTAGCGATTAAAGTTCGGTTATTCTTAACAAGACGATAAAAGAAATTATTCAACAAAAACGATTGTAAGTGAAAGCGGAAAAATAAATGGCTAAAGCGAAATACGATATTCATGAATTAGAGGAACACGCAAGATAGTGGTATAAAAATAATGTATTTACTTTTAACACACTAGGTGAATCATCTCGGTGTATAAGGAAGAAAAAAATTGTCATAAACCATCCGATTTCGTAATAATAATACACTTACCAAAATATGAACATGAACACCCTGGTTCTTAAAGGCAAAATATATATTGTTATGCAAACTACATTTCAAATCGTAATCCCGTTTCTTAACTTTATCACCAAAATATGTGCAATATAAAAATTTCACCAAATTTTCTGATTACTAAGATAGCTTTTTTTGCTCGTTTTCTGTATAAACAATGTGAGTGACAGCTCTTCTTCTAGACAGGTAAATTTTTGTTGCCTTAATTCAAAAGCCAGCCTTTTATAAATGTCAATATAGGGTTGTGGAGATTGTTGAGTTTAATTTGGTACCATTAATGGATGAATGTTAGAGCACCATTGAAAACGTGGAAGCACTGGACGGCCGTTTTGTCCTAGTATGAAACTACCATGACATTATAGCTCCATATTGATGTACTTCGATATTTGTCTGCCACTCTGAAAACCCTCCTATATGAGTGTTTAGGATATATAATTTAAAACAATATTGTGAAATGGGAGGCAAACGGATCTAAACTTACAAACTATACAATTAACAAAACAGTCCAGCAAACTATTTGTTAAACCAAAGAATGAATGGAGTGGCGAACGCTTATCAGTTTTCTTTCGCACTTATAGATTTTATCTGAACAACAAAAATTTCGTGAAAGTTGAAATTATTTTGCTGAAGCCGGATAAACCAATATATATTTTTGTTTCAACTTGTTTTATCCATCAGAATACTCCAGCTACCCATAAATCCTTCTCAAAATTAACTTGGGTTTATAAATAAGTTGTAAAAAAAGCAGAAGTAAAATCCTTAATTATAGTTCTGACTAGAAGTAGTCAGTTGCACATATTCTTTAATAAGTGATTAAGGTTCTCGTATAGTGAACCCAAACACCAGTGGGGATAATCGAGTCTATTTGACATGGAATTACAGGACTTGTTAATAAAATCTAACAATCATAAAGTAAATGCTTAATTTGCAAAATGTCCATAGATTGTCTCGAAATGACTCAGACTTCATTGTTCTTGCAGTTTCATGCAAATTGCATTTTGTTTCCATTCTTTACTGTTCGATCCTCTTGTCTCTCTGCTGCCAGAACTTCTGTTCACGACTAACATCATATACTACTTATGTCAATATAAGTAGCACACACCACACTCGCACCATTAACTTTAAGCCTTTTTATCTGACACTTTTATTTAGTAATTTAAATCATACTATGGACCAACGATAACAGTTCCCTATTTAGTTAATAATAAATATCAGTGACTACTAATTAGCACGGCTCTTCAAGTGACCCTTCTCTGACCGTTTATATATAATGTAAAGAACTAGTTGGAATAAGCTGTGGTAGAACACATCATACAGCTTACTTGTTTGAGTTAGTTTGTAACCTATATGGACGATTTATTCCATACACTTTGAATCAAAAAGTGACAAACAAACTAAAATCCTATTGTTTTACTAGTTTCATCAAATATTAGTCTCTAACCTAGTAGTCTATTCACAATATTTGTTTCCAGTGACCATATGACCACTAAAACTGACTTTTAACTTCATATAATGTATTATCAACTTGTTCGAATGGTTAAGACAACTAATTGAGCCTGATTTTAGTCTTACTGAGTCTATTTAGCTTCAATTCCATCAGAGAGGACTTTTAATCTTCAAACCTTTCATAGATAACTTACTGTCAATCAAATTTTTGTCGGCCTCCTCTACATTACTTTCTTTTGAGATGAGAGACTCATATCCGCCCAAGTTATTCTCACTGATATTAACAGGTCCTGGTATAACAGACGTCCGCTGTTGGGAATATCTTGGATTTGCGTTCATAATTGACTTATTCATTGTATCATCATCATCATGACTTAAATTCTTCAACTCGTTTATTTCGTCTTCGCTGAAATCATTTAAGTCCTCACAACTATTCTGGCTTATTATCCGTGAATAAAAAAGTTGTGGATGAAAATTTACACGTCCTGTCTTTTTTTCATAGTTATCAGCAAAATATTCTTTTTCCTTCGATAATTCCAAGTTAAGTTCTGCCACACGTCTTCTCACATATGCATTAGAGTCATCAGAGTCATATGTTTCATCTTCTGCTAAATTTAATTCAATGTTATTCTGATCATTGCTTAAGTGAAGTATTTCATTGTCTTTCCTAAGTTCCACTTTGAATGCATCTTGAGTAACGTCATTTACCAGTGAACGTGCCAAAAATTTATCGTCTGGTGAACCTACCGCTTAAAGGACGTATAATTGTTGAGATTTAACAATTTTGTTTATATGTAATTTTTTATAAGTCCTCACGAGGATAATTTACAAATTGAAACAAGACAAATAAAACAACAGTATAGTGATACTGCGTAAACGAAAACTAGAAATAACCAACTGGTAGTCATTCGGAGAAGGAGTTTTATACCTTATGTTCCCCGAAATTCGCTCTTCTATATTTTTTAAACCATGTGCGTAAGTAAATAAACACATACTACAAAGTTTGAGAATCGAATTCACCATTTTACTTTTGATAAAAATTTTGTGCAGTTCTTGATGAACACTACTCATGTATACCGTTGAACTGTGGTTATCATCTAGAACTAATATTGGCGCTGTGCCTTTACAGTTAAGATAAATAGTTAGGCTATTTAGAGTAGCCTTAATAACATATTTAGCTCTTCGAGCAGCGTCCAGGATTGAGACAGTAGAAAAGATATGACAAATAACCAAAACAACTAGTTTTGACGTCCACTGACGGAGCTATGAAACTTCCTATACTCTGAATCGATATCTTATTTTACCCACTGTAAATAGTTAAGTTTTTTTTCTTCTTTAATTAACATGAAAGTGGAATTTACATTAGGCCTTTTTTACCAAAATATAGACCGGAGCATTAATACGTCTTCCCTTAATAATACGTTTAAATCCATTATTTGTTCTGTAGACGTTTACCGAACGTCAATTATAAATTATTAGGAATGACATTAAATATTGTCATCATCATCAACAGAATACCTGACAAAACTAACTACATCATATTGGTCCTGAGAAACTACTGACAAAATAACAAGGTTTTTAGTAACCAGAGAAAAACTGCAATATTCCTAATATTTTCTCCTCCATATCATTATTAGAAAGAGCTTGAGTTACGTTTTCGTTGATAGTCGGAATGGATTTTGTAGTTATATGCACATCAAATGATGATCGCCTCGATATATGGGTCGTGTCTATCATATAAGAATTATGTTCGTTCGATAAGCTGGTGATTGTATGGACTCAGTATCTCATGAATAACACGTGGAGTGTTTAAAGCGAAGGGTATTGTGTTTGAGTCTCAATGTATTATATCAACACCAGAATGCAGGGATATTGAGCTAAGGAGCCCTAAATGAGTGAAAATGAGCTTCCTGGGTTCTACTGATAACCACGATCAATTCTCACTAACTTTTCCCCCATTTATATTCGCCTGTGGATTTATTATATAAGATGGTGGGGAAGTTTTCCACATTCTATCAACAATAATTTATTGTCAGAGAAGGGTGTTTGTGGATATTATAGTAATTTCAATGGTTGAGATTATGAGTGAATTGAAGCTAGACCACCATGGAAAACCTTAGTAAACCAGGTAATCCTCAATGTTAGTTTTTATAGCAGGCATTGTAATATTCGAACTATAACTGCAATATCAACACCGTCTTCACATGCTTTTTAAGTACACAATTCTGGTCATTTCAACGCGATTCGTCGCATTTCGTGGGCAAGCCTTGCTTTAATTTATGACTAGACATTAATGATTTCACATTTGCGTTCGATATTACGGATGGATCAATATTGTACGGTCGTAACCCAAACCAGATTAAGGCTCCATAACAAGATTTACATGAAAGTTGAGTGGACAAATTTTGAAGTGAATTGGCTCTTTGAATTAACGGTTTGATTTGTAGATAATTACTGGTGTTTTTAAATGACTATAATGTTTACATATTCATTTCTTTTACGTCAACGGTCCCTAGTTGATTTACATACTGATTATAAGTTGACATCGATATTGATCACCTTATTTAACCATCACGCTTGTGAAATGTTCTAGCTGGTTTTGTGATTTTTCCATCAGATCCTTTAAAATCTTGCGAAATGTATCGCGTTAATGATCATTAATAGCCACTATTGTGTAATTGTACATTACTATACTAAAAAAGGCGATTGTTCTATTTGGTGAAATTTAGTCGATAACACCAATAGTGCAGAGATTTCTTGCAACAGACTTAACTGTTTCGTCATAATCGTTCCTCTTAAGTTGCTTTCAAGCTACAATAGTATTTAAAGCAACAGGATCGGTAAATAATCCTATTTGCTGATGCTTGAAGAATTCTCTGTGTTCAAGATACACCGTGAATATAGTTGCAAGATTCATTTTGATGATTTTGTGCGTGAAAATCCCTCCATGTATACACGTTTAATTTTTTCCTATTGATTCCTTCAGTTGTTCATTTTGTTAGTTTTTTATTCCGTTTGATTTGTTAGTACTTGTATTTTACTATAAGTTCCATTTTTCTTACGCCTTCACTGATATTCCATGTTTCTTCATGAACTGCATTTATGTTGTTTCAGTTGGCACTTAATCTTAGCGGCAGCCATATTGGTTTGTTCCCTCTTTTGATTGTGTTGCTTGCATTGACTGAAATTGTGCATTTTCGATTGTGAATTGAAGCACTCTTCCAGAATTGGAAACACTCTGTTTTATAAAGCAACCAAATATTATCATTCGAACGAATCTGTACGTGATCTATCCAGAATAACTATCTAGAATAACATTTGTTTGTTGCGATTGATTTGCCTACTAATTGAACAATCATTGGTTTAGTAACTGGGTGAAAATATTGGTTTAGGTAATAACGTACATTTATATTTTTAATAAAATCTAGAACCGTCATAAATCCTATCACCTTGTTTTGGTTTCAACGGGGAAAAAATCGTGTCTGAACTACCCAGATAGTTTTTCTTCAGTCTAAACCTTAGTTTGGATTCTACGAAAGTAAATTCATATTTGTCCACTACTTTATGAGAATTTAGCGGCGCAAACAAATCACGATGCTTTTGATGTTAATGACTTAATTTCCGAGCTTTCTCCCAACGCTTCTGAGAATATCGCAGTATATTTTGTCGCTGTAGATGAAACATTTGGGGCCGAATGGTCAAGACACATTGGGTAACAGTTCAGTTCTAAAATTGTTGTCACAACGTCATCGATGGTGAATTAAAAACCCTACTGTAGGTAACGGATGAAGGTTCCAGCCTGATTTCTTATTTTCTGATTATTCTTCCGATTCTAATGTGTTGTTCGATTTGTGCCTACCATTTTTTTCTCGTGAATTCTAAACAAACATCTGTAGAAGTGTTGTTAGGGTTGATTGTAAGTACTAGAACATGTACATTACTTCACTGACTGGGCGTCTGATCATTTCGAGTTCACCGACGAAGTATTACTGTTTCGACCAACTTGCCATATCGTTTTGAAAAATTCTATTTGATATTCGCCAGTTATTTTGGATGTGTCTGATTTGTGAGAGACGAAGAAAAACGAATTTTTTAACGCTTCTTCAACGAATATGTTGCTTTAAAGGTCTTTTGCAGCCTGGGAAAGGTTTTCACAGAGGTATTGATGCTATACTATATAATACGTCAGGGTTTTCTCACCCTAGTCAAAGTCATTCGATGTTTTATGATTGCTGTTTCATGTCATTCATACTTTTTCAGTTGAATTCTGAAATTTATTGATCATCAATTTTTGATTAACATATTAGCTATAGCTGTAGGTGCTCCTATAATAGCAAGTAGGTACCCGTGCTTTTTATAGCTATCATTAGTACATCATCAGGTGGTTTTAAAATTAAATGCAACCAAATGAACTATCCTGAGTATACATTACATAATAATCGAAAAACTTACAAATTATTCCAATTAGAACTCCTATTAAATATATTATACCAGAATAACCTTACCTTCCTGTTTTTCACGATTCATAGTCTCTTGATTTAATATTTCATTTGTTGATGAGCTGTTTAATTCACAACGTTGATAACTTACTGTGTCATTTGTTGTTATTGCTCGATCTAGATTAAATTTTAATGCATTATTGTAATTGGCTCATGGGTATGAAAGAATATCTACCATAGGAACAAGCATAACCTTCTCTGATTACGTGAGAAGACATGAGATAGCTTACTAATGAAACTATCTGTGTGTTTCGAAAGTACGAAAGTTCCACTTTGAAAATTTGATCAATTGTTGTCATGGTGATTTGCTCTCAGTTATCAAATTTACTCGATACAAATGGTATGTACGAATTTATTTGTCAGTACTCACTTCGTCAAACTCATCAACATTCAACTATGTTTTACTGCACGGCAGTATGATAATTATGTAAAATCACCACAATCGAGAAATTCGGCATATGGCTAGCGGTGTCATTCACTCGTCTGTTGAACGACCATCCAGTGACGCGATGTGATCAGTGCATGACCTGTTCTGGCGGAGGCCAGTTTGTTGGTCTCTAAGTCAGGGCTCGCTTAGTCCCTCATTCTGTTCAGAAACAATCCATTGGAAACTTTGCCTGTTACTGATACTAGTGTAGTGACTCACATTTATGTTGACTTAGATTCAACCCGAAGTAGTTGTGCTGATGAAGAATGGGATAACACAATCCAAACCCCTGTTAGTGCAACACACAGTTACAGTAACTGTGCAACGGATAACAGGAAAACTAATCATAACATTCATATAACTGAACACACACTTAACGTTGATATATTCGAACCTCGCAAACCATCGCAAGTATGTTTAACAGTACACAATCCTCTCCAACTTATGAAGAAGCCGAAACCAACCACAAACCTTGGAAATAAACGTATTAAACACGTTACCCATACGTCATGTATAAATAGTTATCTGAATTGTAATTGGCCACTTGGTCACAACCATAGACCTGATAGCCTTCTTGGTCCGGCTCCCAATATGTATAGTATGCCCTTATCAGATGTTATATCCAATAGCAATGAGAAGAATTTTTTTGTAATTCCGCCGGCTTTCCTGCCGGCAACGGTAAACATATTTCACATGATGACAAAGTGGTTGAATCTATTTCCCCTCGCAACACAACTCTTACCTTAGCTAATCCTATGAGTATTCATGGAACTACTAATTGCGATTTATACTCTAACCTGCTTCACTATGATGACTCTGAGTTTCTTATTCTTTCGTTCAATGCCCGCTCTCTGTCTAATAAAATTATTCATCTTAAAACTCTCTTATTCCTTGTTAATCCAACCATTATACTTATTACGGAAACATGGTGTAATTCATCTATATCCGATCATTCCTTGAATGTAGATAACTACGTTTTCTTTAGAACCGATAGATGTTATGGATTAGGAGGCGGTACAATTATCTATGTCCGTTCAAACATTCAAGCGTGCAAATTTGAGGATAAATCCCTTGATGCTATAGACGACTTCACTTGGGTTACTGTAAATTGTGGATCCCAAAATTATTTACTTGTGGGATGCATATATAGACCACCTCATGTGGATACTAAGTTTGACAAATTACTAACAAACATATTTTCCATTGCTTCGCACCGACCGCATACTTTTAAAATCATCGGAGGCGATTTTAACCTGCCAAAAATTAAATGGGGCTTGACTCCGGTACCAGGTCGATATAACAAGCTAGTTGAAACATTAGAAATTTGTGGATGGGTTCAACAGGTCCGAAAACCAACCAGGGGGAATAATACACTTGATTTAATGTTCACAATCAACATAGACTCTATCTCAGTACATACCAGTCATGAGTTTTTTATGAGTGACCATAGAGTTGTAATGAGTATTATTCACTCTTTAAACGCCATACAATTGAACTCTACAGCTTCATTGATGTACCAAAGCAGACATTTTGATCAACAAACATGGAAACGGACTGGAACTCTCATTCAATGTTTACCATGGGAAATTTATTTTATCACAAATAATGTTGACATTGAGCTTTCCAATCTATACCACAACCTGATATATTTTCTTGACTGCACTGCTCCAGTTATTGGCCGTGTGGCTTATAATGCTAATAGGGGCCAAAATACTTTTAAAAGAAAGCTGAGGAAATTAAGATGCCGCTACTACGAGCAGAATGATGTGTATGCACTTCAGAGTATACTTAAATTAATCAACAGAAATGCTTCATCTAAACGTAAGTATTTTATGAATATAGAATAGATAGATCCAAAACAGGGCCACGTAGTGATATTATTAACTATAGGCCAATTAATTTGACATCCGTGCTCTCAAGAACCATGGAAAAAATCATCCACAAACAGCTACTATCATTTTTACTTTCGGCTAGTCTGATCAGCCCATCCCAACACGGGTTTATGACTAAACGCTCATGTTTCACATCGCACCTGGAGTTTTTTGATCAAATTACCCAGAAAAGAGATGTTGGTCAGTCAGTGATAATTCTTTACTTCGATTTTAGTAAGGCTTTCGACAGTGTCTCACACAAACTTCTTCTTTTAAAACTCTCTTCATTTGGCATACAGAATCCCCTTTTATCTTGGCTCAAATCTTTTTTAGAAGAACGTAGCCAAATCGTTCGCTTTGGATCATGCTACTCTAAACCTGTGAATGTAACCAGCGGGGTTATACAAGGAAGTGTGGTTGGTCCATTACTCTTTCTCCTTTTTATCAATGATGTGTGTTCCCTCTTTCAGTATGGTAAGCCTTTTCTTTTTGCTGATGACCTGAAAGTAGTTTATTCGTTCTCTTCTCCCATGAAAGAAAGCTATATTTCAGCGGTAATCCAAGAGGAAATAAACAAGTTGTACGAATGGACTATTTCGTGGAATATGCCACTTAATGTTGACAAAAGTGGATTTATTCACATTGGTCGCTGTCTTAACTTAAATCTGACTGTACAGACACATACACTCAAACCTCTTAACACTGTTCGTGACCTGGGTTTAAGATATAGCAACAGTCTGAACTTTTCTGAACACATTATATCTCAAGTATCCAAAGCTAGAAAGCTCATCGGATTGATAATGATAAACTTCAATAATATCGAATCGAGATTGTTACTATACAGAAAATGTATCTTACCCATTCTTGAATATGGTATTTTAGTTTACAGTAATTGTAGACATACTGACCTGATTAGAATTGAAGGTGTTCAAAGAAAGTTCACCAAAGCTGTTCTGGGGTATTCCGATAACAAAGACTATTACCAAAGATGTCAACAACTCAACTTAGAACCTCTTTGGATCAGACGTATCAAATTAAATCTTGTCTTTATCTACCGGCTTATTAACGGTATTTCCTACTCTTCGGTATCCACCCCTTCATACCTTATGATATCATCCCACAATCTACGCAATAAGGAGAATATTCTAGCGATTCCAAGAACCCACACAAACTTACGTCAGAATTTTTTCCTTATTCGCTACTCAACCATGTGGAACAGACTGCCAGTGAACCTCCGTTGCAGTGAAACTACAACCCGGTTCAAAAGTCTCCTTGACGATTTTCTTTCCGAAAGTGGATTATGTCACCTATTGAATATCAATGTATTCAATAATGATTTATACAAACAAGGTCCGTCATCCATTTAATTGCTTGAAAAGCAAAATAAAACCTTTAAATCTTTCCACATCTATTTTATTTTATTTCTATTTATCTTAATATATGAAATCTGATTATGTTCGTGTTTATCATTATTTCCGTTATTAATATCATTATTAGTTCCCTGACACATTAGATATTCTTTTTGTATCTTCTTATCCTTCTAAACATATTTAACTCCAGATTGTCCTTTAAAATCAATTTTGACTTTCATAGCATCAATCTTAATTATTATTGCACAAATATTTATACTAATATCCGGTTTCACTCTGTATACTATTACATAAATCTAAATGTATTCATCCGAGTGCTTTAACGGATTTTTATTTTATTTTTGCAATTGCTGGTTTCCTTCTGAGGTTGATATTTATTACACAATTATTATTCTTATCATGGATCAAAACTTTTCACTAGGTGTTCACTTCTTTTCACTCCATTCTTTCCCTCTAAATAAATATTCTTAAGATTACGAAGTTTGTAATTAAAACAATAACTTGTGTTACACTTAAATTAAATTCTCAGACCCGTTTTATCTTCACTATGCATATATGACTCATACATATTGATATTTTATTATCCTTTTCATTTAATTGTAACTTTCATAGCATCACTCTAAACTATAACTGCACAAACATTTATTCTAGCGTCATATCTTACTGCAATTATAAGTTATTTTTTCTTAATTATTTTTTGTTACTAATTTGACGATACACACATAGTCGTTTATTCTTGTTCTGTGTTCATAAACACGCCTATTAAACTGTTTGCGTATTTCACGTCTCCTTTATTTCTATTCCCTTATTTTCTCCATTTCCTTCTTTAAACTCAATTCAATATTCTTCTCAATTGCACAGACCCGATTTATTATTATTAATATTCTACTATTATTGCTCAAAATTTTTTTTAAATGGCCAGTAGAATGCTGACATTATTGAAAATTGTGTATTATTGCATTTTTTTGAAGAAACCCGAAATGGTTTCTTCACAACACTTATGTACCCATAAGATGTTTGTGAATAATAATAATAATAACATCTTACGCTATTATTCCAACGCCTTTCGGATAATGGAATAGTAGTTAACCCAGACAAATGGGAGTTGGGTAAACGAGAAATAATATTTCTGGGTCATGTTATCAAGCAAGAGGGTATTCTACCTTGTGAGGACAAAGTGCAAGCAATAAAGGAGTACAACGTGCCGTCCTCACTCAAGGAACTGAAGGCTTTTCTCGGTTTGGTTAACTTCTACCGTCGTTTCATCCCACACGCGGCAGAACGGTTACGACCACTAACCGACTTACTACGCGGCAACCCACGCAGATTGGAAATGAACGATTCTGCACGTACTGCATTCACTGAAATCAAAACGGCTCTTGCGCAAGCCACTCTTCTCGCCCATCCCGATCCATCAGCCACGCTTAGTATAGCGGTTGATGCATCCGATGTTGCTATAGGAGCAGTCATGCAACAAAACATCTCCGGTAGTTGGCAACCTCTCGAGTTTTTCTCACGACGCCTTACTACCACGGAGACGAGATATAGCGCTTTTGGTCGCGAGCTGCTAGCAGCCTACTGCGCCATCAAACATTTTCGGCACGCAGTAGAAGGACGTCGATTCATTTTATTCACCGACCATAAGCCCTTAACGTATGCTTTGCATACCAAGTCTGACCGCTACTCACCACGAGAGTGCAGACATTTGGACTATATCTCCCAGTTCACGACAGACCTTCGTCACATCCAAGGCAAGTCGAACTGTGTTGCCGATGCTCTATCACG